TTTAATGTTCAGGGTACAATCTATGGACGATTCGCACTTTTAACTCCTCGAAATGTTCTATCAACAATTAAGTGGCACCAAAGATCTTGACGATTCGGCCATCTAGATGGGTTTTGGTCCCCGATTTGATTCTTCGGAATTCGATTCCTCGAACCTGCAGTTGTTACATGTTCTTAGTATCATACCGGTAGAAGCGTCTTAGCCTTCATTGGGCTTCAAGGATATCATAGAAGCAAATTCTTCCTCATGGGTATGTTTTTGCCTCCTAGGGATCACAGGGGTCTGGTAGAGAAATAGTGGTTCGAGAACTCCTTCTTTTTTACGAGCGTCTTATCACATGAGCTGGGCATCGTCAGACTCCAATGTGAGTTCGAATAATGTTGCTGCTGCAAAGAATGCCTTCCCAAAGCACATTTATTAGCAACTCATAAACTCCCTTCATTCCAGAATGATTAACTACAAGCTGACGTACTTTGATGGACGTGGGCCTGCTGAGATTATTCGTCAGGTAATCCCTCGAGAATTTTCCCTCAACAAACTTCATATGAGCGAAGGAAGGTTCCTGGGTTCAGCAGAAAATTCATTTCAAGTTGTTCGCTGTGGCAGGAGAAGATTGTGACTGTGGCAGGAGAAGATTGTGAAGACGTGCGGGTTACGTTTGGCGACTGGCCGAAGCTCAAGGAAGGTTAGTGGCATAGCCAATTCAAGAAATGTTTTAAAGTTCTGGCAAAGGGCGGGAATCTATCGAATCATCAATGTTGCGGTTATCCGTGCTGATCCTTGCCTTGCTTTACACCAACCAAGGTCAGACTAACCGCTTCATCACGAGTAACGAGTATTTGAACCGTACAGATATGCCGTTTGGTCAACTCCCGGTACTGGACATTGATGGAAAGCAGCTGTGTCAGTCATTCGCCATTGTTCGCTATTTGGCCAAACAATTCGGTAGGACAATAAATCTTTCGAGGGACTAGAAAGGGTATCTTCGATCTTATATCCGTTTAAGGTTACGCCGGTAAAAACGCATGGGAAGAAGCTTTGGTCGATTCCATTGGTGACCAATTCAAGG